GACCTCGTCATCCCTTGGGGCGCTCTGGTGAACAAACGTTCCCCCGGATCCTGGTGGTCACCCCGATAAGCTTATAGGTGGCCACCAGATCACCCCGGAGCCTGCGCTTTTCCGGGTGGAGGAGCCCCCTGGCTCGGCCTGTCACCGTAAGGCCTGTTCTCTGACCACGCGCGCGGCTCTTTGCCGCTCCCCTCCTTGAATGGTGGAGCCCCACTCTGGGCGCGGTAGTTAAGGTGGCACGAGCACGCGTTTCCCTGTGCTTGGCTTGCTTCCTGCTGCTCCCATTGCCTGGGGGCAAGTCCCCCCTTTCCCCGCCTGCCCACGAAACAGTTACCCACGGTGAGCGGAGATGGGTTTTTGCCCAGGGCGTTGCCAGCCTCTTCCGTTTGGCAAAAAAAAAAACCGTTTTGCCTTTTTTGCAGACCGCCCTTCGGCAAGACAAGCCAAACCCCGCTTCCCGGGGGGGGGAGGGGTCCCCTTCTTGCCGGCCCAGGGCTCGCTCCGCCCCGAGGCAGCGCGGGAGTCCCGCACATGCGCGCCTGGCCCCGCCCGCGCCACGTGCGCGCCCGGCATGGAGCCGCCGGTGAGAGGCGGGGTCGCCTCCTCGGGCCCGCGGGAGACGGCTGCAGAAGCTCGCGTGCTCATTCATTCATTTACTCATTCATTCAGTGCGTGTGTTTGCCTTGCAGGGCACCTGGAGCGGGGGGAGAGCTCTTGCTGCTCCCTGCCCCGCTTAGGTCCGGGTCTCGAGGCAGAGACCGCTAGAAGAGCTTCCCCTTCCTCCCCGTGTGCAGTAGGACCAGAGGGGCAAGCTGGCCCGGCTTCGCCCCTTAACTCCAGCTTGGGGGCCCGCTGCTGTCTTCCTCCATGGCCCCAGTGTCTAGAGTGCTCTTTTTCCCCGCCCGTCCCTGCCGTCTGTCCTCTGGTTTCTAGGAGCCGACACTTTGTCCTTCCCCTGGTTCTGCAAAATACCTTGTTTTTCATCCCTACTGCCCGTAGTTCTCTGGTTTGACGTGATCTGTGTTGATTTTGCTACTTCCCGCAGGCTCCGAGTAGCAGCAAGAAAACTGACCAAGCGGCTGTCCATTTTTTTGCTGCTGCTGCTGCTGGGCAAAACTGTCAAGGAACTAATGAGAATGAAAATCTCGATTTACGCCGATGGTTCAGATCCTTAAACTTCCAGGAAACCAGTGAGGTTTGTTTGCTTATTTTTTTAGAAGCCGTATCGAGATACTGTGCCACACGGGAGTCACCCAGACTGCATGGGAGAGGAGTCTAATGAAAGAAGCTGCCAAGTAATTAAAAAAAAAAATGTCCGTGCTTTGTAGGTAACAGCTGATGGACGTGACTTTTCCTGTCAGGAGGCAGCTCTTTTGAAAGGAAGGAAGACCACAAACTGGTGGCCTCCAAAAGGTATTCAAGAAAGTTATTAAGTCATAATAAGGTGAACGTTAATGTTACGAATGCTGTCTGCTCGGAGGGGCTAGCAGCTGTGCTGGGCAGATACATGGGAAGTATTTTTTTGGGTTACTGCTAAGTCGTCGTTGCCTTTTGTTCTGTGCATCCCTAGACAGGGGAGCACTTAATCATTATTAGCAAAGAATAAAAATACTGTTGATTTGGAGACGCCAGATGGAGTTGTTAAACGCATTTCCTTAAGGGATATTGGGAATCAGCTGTGATGAAACCGCACTAGTGGTTCCAGAGATCAACCGAAGACATAAACTTCCAGCCTCGGCCCTGGGCTGGAGCTCGTCTGAGCCAGACCACCAGGTGTGAAGTCAAGAGTTCACAACTTGGGGGATTGTGGAGCAAGTGATGGGATTCAAACCTCTCACTAATGTATTCCAAGCACAACAAGCATTGGACAGCCAAAGCAATATGGGGGTGGTATTAACTACGTGCAGATGTGAGTAGTGTGAAAGCGTGCCTTTGTAATTGGTTGAATTCATATCTCTGGTGTTGCCAAACTTTTCCTTTGGAATCTCATTGCGACCTCATGAATTGGTATACGTTTCCAGATGTGGTCGCAGCGGGCAGGAGCACTGTCATTTTCCTGGCCTCTGACTGATGGTGATTCCTTGTTCGACGGAGTTCTGTTTTATGCACAGTATCTTCATACAGTTGGCCAAACTACCGTGCATTTAAAGCATTGTGATCACCCCAGTTTATTTCCTAAGTAACTTTTTGGGTCTTTCTGTCACACTGTAGATGTTGTAGACATTCCTGATGGCAAGTCTCAACCGAGCGGATTCCCCGGTATCTCTTCCTGTCAAAATGATGCCACTGGTTTGGCTACAGACACCTCTGGATCGTCTGCCGAAAGCACTGGTGACTCTGACGATCAGAATGACCTTCAGGAATGGGAGCTGGACACTGAAGTGAGCAGTGTGCCTGTTGTTGCGTGTTATCCTGAGCTGAAAACTGATCCCGAGTATGAGGAAGAGGATTGGGATAAAGAGCTGGAGGATTCCCAATGTAACCCGTATGGTAGGTACAGATTTGCTTGTGCTTCAACTAAACCGGCCTGGCGGTAGGGACATGCAAGTTGCTGGAGAGTCTCTTTCAGCGGGTCTTCATTCTCCTGTTTTGGGCAGAGACTTCATGGTGTCTGCAGTGACTCGTTTGGTTTTTGGCTGCCTTATGTCTGTCTCATGCCCTTGTGATACAGTTGTACCTAGGTATTCAAAAGACGGATTTCAAATGGATCTATCTGATTTTGCCTCGGGCAGTAGGGGATATAACTGATTGGATGCTGTGGTACGGGGAAAATGTATGTAGAGCTGTGTGTAGCTACTCAGGTGCTGTTCAGCCATCATGAAATAGCGTGCGTGCGCATGTCAGTCATAGATAAGGAGGGCTGGAAGGGACCTCCAGAGATCATCCAACCCTTTGCCTGAGGCAGGATCATCCCCATCTGAGCACTTCTATACAAATCCATTCTCTAACTTGTTAGCAAAACTGCACAGCATCACGCTGAAGCAGTGAGGATGGACTTGCCCTGCCCTCGGATGGAACAGCGTGCCCTAGCTAAGGGCCCAGGTTCTGCTCACGGGGCAATTCTTCTCGGTGGCTCCTCTTGGGCTTTGTCAGCAGCGGTGTCACTGTCACACAATGCCCTTACAGGGTTGTGTCAAGAGGTGTTAATCTCTGGCCCAAGTCTGTTCATTTGGAGCCCAATCCGGCAAGCAGTAACACACATTTTAGCAATTTGGCTCTTGTAAACCGTTCTGTTGATTTGGACAAGAGGTTTCGCATCAGCAACCTTGCCTTTGTCTGCAGGATGGCTTTCTTTGCTTGCAGTTCCTTGCTTGGGGTCCCTTACTTTGAATTTGTGGAGCACCTTAAACTCTGAACGAATAGAAGATGCTGGGGGACCCAGCAGACTGACTGCACTCAGCAAATAATGCGTGATGACCTACCTGAGAGTTCGTAGGCTAGTCCACTTGTTTTATCTCCTTGTCATTACACAAGTCTCTTTTGGAAGTTGTACAAATACAACAATTCCCTCTTTGTTGCGGAGGTATTGATTCTTTAGGCTGATCCGTTTTGGTGTCATTTATTTTTCCTTTTGTGCACGACTGCAGTATTCAGTCATGTTCCAAAGGTTAACGGCAGATGAATCTGGGACATCTGCCTTGCATTTCTATAGACACCTTGTAATAATTATAGCATAAATGCCATAGTTGTGGTCAGTGCTGGGTTAGTTAAGGGACTGAGGATACTTATGCTGGTGTATAGCCTTAGAGATGAGCCTCAGAGCAGCTGAGGACGGTAAGTGTTGTGTTGTGAGGTTCTTTCAATGTTTGGTCCCACTACAGGCCTGATTAACCATTTGCACAAGTGTTTTTCCATGTGGTTATCACTCTTACCCGCGATTCATTTGCCCCAAGTTACTCACAAGCCCAGCAGTGGATGGAAGCTTTGGCGCTATGATTTGGGAGCTGGAAAAGGACGGTGAGCCTGTATCTGGAGTCTGATCCCTTTAGGTTAAACCACTGCTTGGTCAGCCCTGCATCCGTTTTCTTCTTTACTCGGGGTCTGCTTTGGTGTCTCACTTGGCAGCATGGCTGAAAAGCTGGCAGTGGGAATGCTGCGTGGTTTGTCACGTGGCTTTTTCTTGCTCGCTGTACCCTTAGTTGGCTGATGCCAGCAGGCAGTTGGCTGAGACTAACCCCCTTGCCCATGTAGAGCAGGTTCTGCTGTCTCTTCTTGTCAAGTTCGTTAGGATATCGACTCTAATTCTAGGCTAGGGAACGAGCTGATGAGCACTAGCCTCTTCAGGATCTTCCTCCCATCCTTAGCTCCCCTCCCTTGTGACGCCATCACCAGACATTTCCTTGAGTGCTGCCAACAGTGTGGAGGAAGCAGGAAAGGAAAGAGGGTGGCTGTTGGGTCCCAGAAATAGGACAGTGAGAAAGCTGGGGTGCTGTAGGTGTATAGGCCTATCGGGCTGCATAAGGAAGGGTGGATTTGGACTCCGTTCTCAGCTGTGTCAGACTTGCTGAGATATGGAGAAACCTTTTGCCTAAGCACCGTGCAGTCAGTTTCCTATCTGCAGAAAGAGTTTAATTGCCATCTCATAGGCGTTTTTGTTGGTGAGTGAAACCTAAACTGGTAAATCAGGTTGTGTGATTCTTGGCTTGGAAGGTGTCCTGGCATCGTTTAATAACACTTGCCTGTCCTTTAAATTCTCTTCAGATGCTGAAGATCTTCACTGGGGAAGTCTTCAAGAAAACAATCTGCTGGCACCAGGTCTGTGGCAAGAAGAGTCATTGTTCAACCCAGTTGGTCACCATCCTCTTCCTCTGGCTTTGAAGCCACCAAATAGAGTCTCTGAGATTGGCCAATTTGATGACGCAGATGAGTGAGGTTCCCCGTTTGGGAGGGCAATGACTGGTCTCCGAGTTGAAGCGGGTGTTGCATGCTTGCGATGGGGCCGTGTGACAACGTTACATTTTGCTTGTGTTTTAAATAAGGCTGGAAATGCCAGACCTTCACTGAGGACTTTCTTTGAGAATATGATTGAACAAATAGACAGGCCGCACTTGATTTGTAGGAAGCAAAGGCTTATGAATTCGGACTGAAGATTAGCCTTGGGGATTGATGTGGTTCTGTAGAACTCCTCATTTTTGTTCTTTTTTAGTCTGTTTGTTTCTTTTATTGATGTCTGGGAAGTATTGTTTTATTTGAACTTTGGCTCGAGGGCTAGATTAACCAGTTCTGACACATTGGTCCCTCCATCACTGCTGTGACACTTTTATTTTCTTTTCCTTTTATTACGTATTAATAATTGAGTTTGGCTAGCATTAAATGTTCTGCCCCTCTTCCACATCCTACATCCTAAATAATGGGATCCTTTTGCTATGTGCTGAAATCTGGGTCCTCTGAGTCCTAAGAGGAATCTAGTGTTGGACAGCATTGTCCATAAGAAATATAGATTGCTTTCTCTTAGATACTAATTCTATTTTTGTGCCTGTCAATACAAATGGGTGGAACTGCAGAACCAAATGCATCCGTGAGAGCCCTTATAGCTTACCCATACGGCTACACACACATGCAGTCAGTTGGTCTATTTGCATGAATAAGTATTAAATAATCGGACCCTTAACCAACACAGGTTTTTGTGTTTAAAACCCTGTCTCCCACTGAAAGCTTTTGCAGAGCAGGGACCTTCACATGGGTTTATCTTGTTCTTTTTCATTTCTAATGATGTGTCATGGCATCTTTGTGTTGCCAAACACACTGTTATATAAATATTTGTACTTCTGTAGCATCTTCCTCTGTAAGACATTCCAGTGTACCTTGCAGACATGTTTGAATTAAGCTTCACAATGCTGCTGATAGGCAGGAAGCCAAATTATGGTTTTTGCTTTTTGTTTTTTTCCCCCCAGCAGTGAGAAAACAGAGCTACAGCGACATAGCCACAGGCAAACCAGTGGTTGTGCTGGGAACAGAGGTATATTTGTGGCCTCCTAAACATTAAGCATTGCATTTACTTGTATTCTAGTGAACAGCCTTGTGATAAGTAGGCTGTGCAGATGAGCTGTTTGGTATCAACAGACCTGTGTTATTTCTCATATCTCTGTAATTCCTTTTTGCTTACATGGCAAAAATTGAGATTGTGAAGAGTGCGCACTCTTGGTTTAACTGTTTAAAATTGATGGTAAAACTTCTGTTAGTTGAGCGTGAGTACTCTATAAAGTCTTCAGGACTTAGCAAACTGTAGGCCACTTACGAGTGCTGCTACAAGGTACCTGCTTCTAGGGGCCTACTTGCACCTACACCCTCTGGTCTCTCCCCTATTTACACCTTGATGCACAGAGGGCAAGGCATGCTCTTGAGGAGGTGGTCCCTGCCTAGGCTCTATCC